GAGCGAGCAACTATAGGGTGCCATCAGGGCCCTGGGGCAGGCAGCCTCCGGGGGCCAAGGGCACATTTGCAAAGTTGAGCAAGTGTCTGAGCCCCACCACAAAGGGGCTGCCATGGGAGGCGCAGCAATGGGCAGGCAGCCTTCCCAAAGGACGGAGTGCAAAGCAGCGGTGGGGTACGTGTTCCAGTGTGCTGGACGAGCCCTTGAACCCACACTTTTCAGCACCAGTGGAAACCTATTCCGCAGTGATCTTAGCTGCCAGTCGGGATATGTGCCAATTTATTTATTTTTCAGGGGAAAAGCTAAAGCACCTCGGTGGGCCCCAGGAAAAGTACCGAGGGATGCATTGTTGCCCATGGATGCCACATTGCCTATCCGTGATTTACAGTGTGTGTGTGTGTGTGTGTGTGTGTGTGTCTGTGTGTGTGTGTGTGTAAGCTCATTAAAGGCACAATCCAATTGTCCTTGCCTTCCATGCACATAAGCTTCCCGGCTCAGCAGCTTATGTGCATTCAATGGCCAGAGCAAGGCTCAACAGTTCCAGACTCTGCCATGCATTTCAGTCCAATGGGTGTCTTTGGCTAGCTAAAGAAAGCCAGGGGAGCGGGAGAGGAGGCGGCTGGGGCACTGATAGCAACTGGCATTCAGAGACAGCCCGGCAAGCCACTTTCTCTGCTTCCTGAAGGTGCTTTTCCAGTCTTAGAAAGGCAGCTGCTACAGTTCTTTCTGTCCTGGCAGCAAGGGGCTAGACATCAGAATCCCAGCCCCAAGGTCACAGGACTTCACAAGTGCTGGGATTCTGAAAAATTCCTATGGCTCCCCAGATCGTGTTGGGAGGCCCTAGGATTGTGCCTTAAGTTAAGAAGCTGAAATGAGCTACCTGCAGAACAGATACTTTGAAACACAATGGAAAGGCTCCCACCCTACATCCTGCTTAAGTAACACACCTGCCTGTCTCCATCCATTCCATCACATTACATCTTGTTGTAACCAAAGATTTGAATTACAATAGAGCCAACATTCTTCAAGGGCATCCGGAAATATCTGCTTCAGGAGGAGCCCAACTGTAAGCAGTTATGCCCTTTCAAAACTAGTCCCACATGTCAAACCAGGCTGGTAAGCATCACGGAGATTTTCTCGTATCATTATGCACAATGAGCCATACATTCATTTAATTAAATAGTGTGCCTTGACACAATATGCATGACTTAATCATGAGGAAAGCACTGGAAGATATAATCTATGATAAACAGAAGGATACATGTCTTATTTCGGTCTTCACCCATGAATATATTCACTCATCAAAGCACATGTATGCATCATGGTCCCTTGTCACATGGCTATCTCGAAATATGCTCGTTTAATGCACCCTCGTCATGCCAGACAAACAGCATCAATGATTCTGTGACTGGGTTCACACAACGACCTACACTCAAGGCTGAGTGTGGGTTGCAAGTGGGTTGTTGCTGAACCGTGAGTGGCTGTCGAAATGTGTGGACCCAGCTGTATTAACAAACAATGGTTTACTAAATGTGAACAAGTTACACTTCACAATCCAGCAACAGACCATGGGTTCCTTCTGAAGGCTGTTCATGCTTAACGCAGCTGGGGGCAGTATAGAAATGAAATGCATACTAATACTTACTTGGAATTGCATTAGGACAGCTTTCCCCTATCAAGGGAGGAGTTTCAGGCTACAACACCAAGCATTCCTGCCCAGAGTGCAGCAGGTTAGAGAAGTTTACATTAGCGTTTCTATCCATTACGGGCTGCAGGCCTCTATGTGGAAAGTGACACATATATTAAAATAACCACAGCATCACCAATACCACACTCCATGGGCACTGAGCTTCCCTTTAAAATCCAAAGTGCCACCTATTCAAGCCTCTCCTGCTTATCCTAAATTCTAGGCAAATCAAGCCTGTAAGTCAGGTTTGTGCAAGAATATACAGGTGGACAACTGAACACAAATTACTCCCGTATCTACTTTTCCATAGAAGGACTCACACCGCAAAGATGCTGAAGTGGTGGAACAAACCTAGGCAAGTCCGAATTATTCATTTCCCTGTATCTGTTTCCCATGCTGAAGCCATTCTGAGATGGCAAGTCCACGCAAGACAATGGTTTCTGTTTTCCAAATTCAGCAAGAGCAAAACCCCCAACTCTGTCAACATTACATGCAGGTTTTGGGGGTGGGAATGCAGATTTCTATGTTCTGTATTGTAGGAACCCCTTTCCAAAATGCCCTACATATACGATTAGCCATCGGTTAAGAATTATTTCCTTCTTTCCCATCCCAAGGCCATCCAGATGTGTTGGATGACAACTTTCAAGCTGAACGATGGGAGCTGTAGTGCGACCATCTGGAACCCCCCAGGCTGGTAAAGGCTGACTTACTGTCAGTGCAATCCTATGCATGTTTAGACAGAAAAAAGTACCACAATTCTGAGTAATCCCCGACCTGTACGGCTGGCTGGGCACTGCTGGGAACTGTATGACCTTCTTCTAAGTCTGTAAAGGACTTCGATTCTCTTTCTGCCCTTGCTGACCAACTGCCTGGACCAAGTCAAGCCCGGATGAGTGATGAGCCTGTTTTCCCAGCATTTTCCAGATAGCTCAAACTCACAGGACTTCTACTGGATCACATCACAGGTTCTAGGCAGTCATCTTTTCCCTGTCTCGGCCCTTTCCTAGACAGGATGGCAGTTCTTTGTCATCCCCTTATGTGCCAATTCTGGGCACCTGGGGAAAATGCACGGCTGATTCCGGCTCTCCCATACCACCTCTACAAATATTGCAATTTCCATACAGTCCTCAGTGCAATCCTTTCTTCAACATCTCCTGCTGAGCAATAAAAGCAATTGCTTGCCATGTTCTCCAGCCGGAATCTCCACGCTCATTCCGTGGAAAATTGACCCAGAGAACAGGAAAGTGGAGCTAGTCGTGCATCATCTGCTACTCTGAGACCTTCCAGGTTTTAGGACATGGCTTTACTCAATCCCTTGGACTCCAAAGAGCATCTTCACAGCCTCCACAGCTTGGAACCAGCAGCTGCAGAACCAGACAATGGTTCTGTAAGGAGGAGACGTTTCCTTGGAGTTCGCAGCAGGGCTACCTCCTCCAAAAGGCTTCAGGTGGCCTCTGCGTGTTGCTGAGACCACTGCTCTTTGTCGGTGTGAGCCAAGTGGCCTGTCCAGGGTTTTGACAGGCCTGGTCTGTTGGGGCTTGCCCAGATGTGATCTCGCCCCTATAGGGAGACACACCAATGCAACCCATTCCTCCTGGAAAGCTCATGCTGCTCCTTGCGGGATCAGACTACAAGTCTAGCTACTCCAGTCACTTTCCTTCCCACATGCAGTAGCCAGACGATTCTGAGTAGCTCCCAAGCAGTAACCCACCTCTTAGCTGGCCAGCTCTGCCCATGTCCCCACCTGACATATCAAGACAACACTTCAGGCCTGCTGTCCCAATTTGGCCCACGGGGGTCCCCAGCGTGGCGCCAGCCCTTTGTTCCTGGCCCATCTCCTTTCCCTGGATTGCCAGTTGTTCACTGGTTCCCAGCTTTGGGACAGTTTCCTCCCACTGAAAGGGTGGGATGCCTTTCCCAAGCCCTGAATGCTGGCAGGAAAGAGCCTGATGCTAAAACTGGCTGGTGTTTTTGACACTGCCTCTTTCACCTTCAGCATCGCTGCAAGTGAAACATGCCCTCCAAGAGCTCTGCAGACTGGAAGGGATTCTGTACTTCTGCTACACATGCTATCACCCAACTCATTTTCCAAGTAAGGATCTCATTGCTGTTGCGTTTCATTTATATCCTGCCTTTTGTGAGGAGCCTGACAGGAGCTTCCACAGCAGCGTCCGTCCTTTCAACAGCAACTCTGCGGGGTAGATGAGAACGAGCGCCAGGGACCAGCTCAGAGTCCCTCAGCCAGGCCCACGGCTGAGTGGAGATTAGGAACCAGATCACCTGAGTCCCAGTCCGATATTCTAGCTAGTTCAGGAACACTCCCAGTATTAAAAAAAAAAAAGCTTTAGGAAAAAAGGAAAGGAAATTGTTTAGAAATCCACAGCCCAGCTAAACAAAGAGAAAGCTGGTATGCCAAAAGAGGAATCCCAAAGGGGTATCGTATATTGCTGGCTGCCACCCTAAGCAGGAACATGCCAGGATAGAACTTTTTGTGGAAGGAACATTGAGGAAACAACATTTCATTGTTTCAGCGACTAATGCGCATTTATAAACCGTGCGTGGATCCCCTGCATCCCCCACCATGTATTTTGGGCCCTTTACTTGCAAGTTCTTTGACTAGCTGTCACAGAGAGGGTCTAGCCCTCGTACTAGTGACACATCCGTTGGGGCACATCTGACATTTGTATTTCCGTAAGAGCTGCAGAGCTTCCTCTGCAGTCGCACTGCTTCATTCCGGATTCTAAGAGACCTCTGCACAGCAGGCGTACAAAAGTCCTTCTGTATTGGTATTCAAGGCGCTGGCAGGGCACCAAAAGCACTCCACTTTGCCCGGTGGTGGCTCCCACCCTCGTCACTCTCACGGGAAACTCTCTCAGCCAGTGCGGCAGAGATGTGGAGCAGAAACGCCCCCTCCCCTCTGTTTACCATACAGAGGATGCTTCATTCACAGCCCGCGAAAAGGGGGGAACTAACCCTGACTTTAACAATGTACACAATTCATTTAGAGTCCCCTCCTTTTCGCCATGGGAATGGACTGTCCCTATATCAGGAGTGGAACATTTCTTGTGGACTGGGCTCCCCTGTCTTTCCAGGAAGGCAGAAGTCTTTCTTTACATGCATTCAGATCCCTTTTCAAAGGACTGCGGGGTGGACCGACAAAGAGGGACGGCCAGCAACACCTGTGTTTACTACTCTGCCCCCAGAGCTCGGGGCGGGGCGGGGCGGGGCGGGGCGGGGGGGGTAAAAATGCAATGCAATGCAGGTTTGGCTCACCTGCCTGGGAAAACGCCTCGCTGAATTCAGTGCAGCTTACCTTGAGTAGACACGCGTTCGATGCGTTAAGACCGCTATCCTTCAGTCTTAGGATAGACTGCTTTTGTGTTTGGCCTGCAGAGCTCACAATCACTCTCCATCGGCTATTGTCTTGCATTGTTGGGATCTGTAGGTCAAAAACAGGAAGATTGCAAACAGCCTGCCTTTGTTTTGCTTACCTAAACCCAACTGAATTCAGCAGGGTTTGCTTTAGGACTTTCCTCTCTGTCTAAGAATGGCAGTGGCTGCATTCTAAATAAAAATTGCTAGGACAAGGAGGGAAGGGAAATTTGCAACGGATATTCTTGCGTGTGAATTACGGGGTGGTGCTTGATATCAAAACGCTCAGGGCTACAGCCCCCGCACCAAAAGGCTCACATTTGTATATGCTAAGCTGCACATGCTCTAAGTCCGTCTTGCCTTCTGGACCCTGTCTCCGAAGGACACGCCCCATATTTGTAAAAAGGGATCGATGGACAAAGAAGGGGAGGGAGGTGGAGCACATGAGATCCTGCAAAGTGTAAGCCGTCCCGAGACGTTCTGTAGGGGTAGAAAAGCTTTTAATAGATAAAGAAATAAAATAAAGTGATCGGGTACAAGGGAGATCCCCAGGGACCCTAAGTCAGCGAGAACCTATAGACATAAGGTTCTGTCCGTGGGGCGGAGGGACTCGAAAGATTTGGGGCTGGGATGGCCCTATAACACCGACCCAAATGAATTAGCTCGCTGAGCCCAACCCTTTCCGCAAAAGAAAAATCATCATTAGCTGCATGGGGCTGCAAAAGGCCATCCGAGAAAGATTTTCTCCGCTCTCTCAGCTGAGCCATTTCGCCGCCACCCCCGCCGACCGGGCTAACAGTAGCAATCAATGGCGGACTACAACTCCCATGAGGCCTAGGGGCACCCTCCAGGCGGCACGCTCACAAGAGGGCGCGCAGGCGCAGTGGCCGGGCGGAGACTGCAATCGTAGCTTTACTACATCCCGAGACTGGGCAGCGGGGTTGGAAGTGCTATCTGGTTCGGTGAGTCTGCGGCGGGCACTCGCGAACCCTCCCCGGGGCAAGAAGTGGGGGGCCTGAGCCGTGGGTGGTCGCTTTTCGTAGCTGGGCCAACTGGGCTGCCAGTTCAGCAAACTTATCAGAGTCAAGCAGGAAACGGTTGCAGCTCAACCTGGTCCGGCAGGACTTGTAATTACTGACGGAATTTGGGGCTTGGGTGGGGGGAATCTGTGATGTAGGGCTGCTTTTCCTCTCCTGGCGTCCTCCAGATGAGTTGGACTGCAGTTCCCATGCTGGCTGGGGATGATGTGGGTTGTACTCCCGCCCATCCGGTTGGCGCCGGGTTGCAGGAGGCTGCAAGGAAGTTTGAGTTGCTGTGCAGTTGCTGTTAGGGAGCAATGAAGAGAAGAAGAAAGAGGCAGCGATAAGCACCGGGGAGCGAGTAGGAGCAGGATTTGGGCTTGGGCAAGACTCCAAACCGCCAGTTTTCTTCCTCTCTTTGCCTTCGCACCTCTTCCTCCCTTCCCTACAGCTCTTTCTGCAAACACGATCAATCCACACCCAGGAAACTCACCGCGCCCGTTGTCAGAGTGCACGAGCCCTCCCCGCTCCGGAGGGTTTCCTCTCTTGGGCTTGTCATTCAAGCCCGGCCTTCTCCTCCTGCACCGGGGCAGGGAAGCTTTGCCGAGCTGCGCCTGGTGTGTATGGACTCGTCTGGCAGTGCCCCGTTGCTGTTTGTGATTTTCCTTCCGGATCCGGGCCGCCATGTGCTGCTCGGCTGACCTTTTGCACCTCTGTAAATTCTCTTCCAGATAAGCATGCATCTGCGTTTCCGTGTGCACTGATTTCAGAGGCCACTGGAATTGGATGGTCTCGGTGCCTGGTGCTTGGGCATTGTGTGTCTTTCGGTGTCTTTGCCTCAGGACGCTCTGCTCTTTGCTTTACCTGAACTATTTTTAAATGTTTTTGCTCCTGGCTGGTCAAAACCAGGATAGAGGACTTGGAGCCCTTTCCAGGTGCCTTGGATGAGAACTTCATTACACTCTGGTCATTTGCTGAGCTGTCTGGGGCAGATGGGAATTATAGTCCCAGACATTTGGTGGGGATTGGGGTGGCTGCCCTTGGACTAAAAAAGATGAGGATTACCTTCAAACTGGTGGAGGCAGTGGAGAAAGGCAGGTGAATTCCTACTTCTCCGTGGCGGAGCTTTGCAAGTAGAAGCCCTTCCAGCTGAGCCTGGGAAAGAACCGTGTCTGAAACCTGGCAAGCCCTGGCAGTTCGTGGTGGGTTAGACCAACTCTTCTGTAAGGCTGTTTCCTCTGCTCCTAAGGATCTCTGCACATGCCCCGTGTGCAAGCACTCTGCCTGAACACCGTTCTTGCAGTGCTGCATATGGGAGGATACAGTAGAATGTGAAAGGTTTGTTGCGGGGGGGAGGTGTTAATGCGTGGACAGGATATTTGGCCCTTGCATGGGACTGTTCCCAACCCATCTGGATATTTGATGCGTGCTTTTCTCAGGGTCAGCTTCAAGTGAAGTGGGGTAGCGAGATGGGAAGAAACCTGAGAAAGATAACCAGATGGAGTCCCCTCACTGCTTTTTAAAATAGGTTTACCACCTTCTCCGCCTCAAGGTGGTGTTAATTCGCTTGCCCTTTTGCCTTGAGCCCCCAAAAGGAAAGAGCGTGACAAACTCTGGCACTCCCTGCATTGTTGGAAAGAACCGAGGAGCGAGGAGCGGGTCGGATGGGCGAGGAGGAGCCAGCGGCGGCCTGGAGGGCTCGGGGAGGAGGCAGAGTGGGGCCTCCCTCAGCAGGCGTCTGATGAAATCGACCCTCGTGGTCCCGACCCTGCAAGGGAGATTACCTTCCACATGGAGACTTCCACACACAGTTCCCTTGCTGGATTTGCAGCACCTCGTAAAGCAGATGCTTCTGTTAAATAAAAAGTGAGGGATGCTGCCTGAAGCGTGAGGGTCTCGTGAACACTGAGGGTGCGTCCTATGCATATGTGCATGGAGAAAAGCTCGGCCACTCGCAGCACGTCCCGGGCGCGTCGTCATTCTGAGAGTTGCAATCTAAGACATCTGGAAGGCTGCAGGAATGGCTTACGCACATTAATCCAGGATGTTGAACATGCAGAGTGTTTAGGGGTGTATAGCTTTGCAGCAGCTACTTTATAAAGTAGCTCCCAACCATTTTCTCTTACAAAGCAAGGGACAAGGTGGCCTGACCAGTCTCCCGTGTCCCTCTGGAGGCAGAAGGCTTGAACACGAGAGCCAGGGCGAGAATCAGGGAGACCTGCATCCAGATCTTCACTCAGCAATATGGTTGACCTTGTGTCAGTCATTATTTCATAGCTTGACTGCCTTGCAGGGATAGCGTTATCACTCTCTGAAATGGCTTAGAACCATTCTGAGCTTCTGGTGCACATGATGATAGAAGCATAGAAATAGTGAGTCAGAAGGGGCCATCTAGTCTGACCCCTGGCTCCGGCATGTTGAACTGGAATTTCCATGCTCTGGCTGTTGGTCGTGCTGGGTGTGGCTGATGAGCATTGGAGTCCAACAGCACCTGGAAAGTTGCGGATTACTCACTCCTAAGTTGAAACAGCTGTGTAATACAGCACTGAGGTTTAATTGCATTGGTGCTGAAGGCTGTCATTGGTATCGTTTCCATCCAGGGCAGGCAACTTGTGACTTCTTAGAGATTTTAGTCTACAGGTCCCATCAGGTCCCTGGCCAACTCTGCTGGCTAAGGTTGATGGGAGTTGTAGGCCAAAGCATCTAGAGGGTAACGAGCTGCCCTCCTGTACTTTGATCTCGCAGCAGACACCCCGGAGTGTTCAGAAAAGTCCAGAGTTATCACTTCTACTGAAACATTCCTGAAGTCATAACCAGGGTGCAGGGGAATCGCTGCTCTCTCTTTATGTTTGTATCATACTCTTACTGCAACGTTAAATGCATTGTTAGCATTCTCCGGAGCTGCACAGGTCTGTAATTTCTAAAAATTATCATGATTAAAGAATGCTCATCTGACCCAGCCCGACTAATAAAAGGTTAGATGTACGCTAGCGCTTTAATGAGAAGGAGTTTCCGGCACGGAGCATTACAGCTGCATGGAAACAGGAAATAAGAGCATTTGGAAGGTATGTCTCGAGCCAGAAATGGCATTTGAATGACATGACTCCCTTGGGGCCTCTGTTTGCCATGCAAATGTGTACATACTCAAAATTTTTCCATAATACTTGGGGCATCTCCTAGGCTGGCTTGTTTACTTTGGCCTCCAGGGGTGTAGAGTTCAGTGGGACAGCTCGGGAAAATACAGCAATTGTCTTTTGGTTTTAAAAAAGTGGAATCTCGGAGAATTACTGTGGGAAAGGAATGGGGAAGGAGGCTTGGTTGTCACGAAATTATGTGCCTCACTTGCTTTCTAGGATGCTGGAGGCAGGGAGCTTTAAAATTTCATTGGTGATGTTCTGCCCCAAGCTTTTCTGGCATCACTTGCTTCTAAAGCAGCTGTGAGCTGCAGGGAGCCTTGGGTTATATAGCTTCTGTATAGCCTGAAGTGCCTGATCCTGCCTAATCTTGGAAGCTAAGTGAGGTCGGATCTGGATGGGTGACTTAGATGTTGCAAATCGCCCAGAGGGCTTCAGCTATGGGTGGTATAGAAATGTAATGTAATAATAATAATAATATAATAAATATTGAGCCTTTTCCCACAGGGGTGGCATGTTCTTGCTATTGGGGGAAGGTGAGCAATGATGTCAAATCTGGCTTTTATATAACGAATCACTAAGGGAGTCTGGTCTCTGCAACAGGGCTGTTGAACCTGAGGGCTCTGGAACTGCAGCCCTCTGGCATTTCTCAGTGGCCATGCAGTGTCTCTATCCAGGGTCTTTCCCATCACCAGCTCCCTGATTGTTTTGCAGGCTTAGCGGATTTGAACCTGGGGCTTTAATCCAGACTTTCATCCATTGAACCGGGGACTTTAATCCTAGGCAAAGCAGGTGTTCCCCTGCCATGTTACAGCCCCTTCCCAGAGACAGACCTGGCATATGTATAACTTCACCTGCTTTCTTCCTCTTGCTTGCCTCTTCCTGCAGTTTTCTGACTGTGTGCTCCTCTAGGCAGGGACTTATTCATCTTGCTCGGTAGACAACCATGTACACAAGAAGGCCTGTCCTCTTCCTTGGTCCGGCTGTCAGCATGTTCTCTGCATTGCTGGTTTATATGGCAGCATCTAATGTAGGTGTTGCTGTAGCAGTTCCTATTTTAAAAAGCGCAGAGGGAATGCAGGCCCTGCCCCAGGGAACATGAGACAGCAAAGGGCAAAGCAGGGTCACAGTTTGCCCTCCGGCTGCCGAGGCCAGCAAGTCTGAGAGGCAGGTAGCAAGAAGAGCACCCGAGCGCTGGGTACACAGAAAGGGGAGAGCTTGGCAGTCTCAGTCACCCAGCACTTCAAAGTTCTGCTACCAGTAAATATTGATTTATACCCTTCTGTATCCTGCTGAAACATGTGGCACCCAAGAAAACATATCCCCACCCCTGAAATTTGGAAATTCCCGGTGTTTCCCAGCTTATCTACTTTATTTCCACCCTTTGCATCATTAGGTACAAGAGATAATTAAAGCTCAGAGTCGGTGTAAAGTAGGGATGGGCAGGTAGTCTGAAACCCTCGGAGGGAATTCGGGATCCTCTGTGTGACTTAGGAACTGTGGATTGATGTCCTGCCACAGCAGGGGGTTGGACCTGATGGCCTTCCTGGCCTCTTCCAGCTTTTCTACGATTCTGCGAGCTGGATGGCACCTGGGTGGTGACGGGTATGGTGGCAGGGCCAGTGCCGATGTGGCCAAGGCAGGGCGAAGGGGCAGGAGGAACAAGGGGCTCATTCTTTGGCCATAAGGTCCAAACTTGCAATGCTGCACATTGCTTCTTTCCGATGCCATTCTGGCAACACTGGTGCAAGTCCTCCTTTTTCACTGTTGCTGCTCCAGAGCAAAGAGGGGCAAAATCTAGGGCTGCCA